CGTCTCTTTCTAGGGGGATAGTTAGAAAGAGATGCAGAGTGAGTTTAATCGGAGAATCACGTTAATCGGAGACTGTGAGACCGGCCCTTAGATTGATGTATCGATCGATTTTCATCTTCGCCAACTTCTATTGTCTATTCTGAAAAGTTAATTGTCGGTTAGAGTTTAACGGGGAGGGGAGGATGTTAGAAATAGGCTGAATTCGGGGAGCGCGCTATTAGCGCTATTTGCTTGTTCTATCCTTGTTTTACACCTGATGAGCGATAAAGACAGAATGATGCAATAGCGCTAATAGCGCGCTCCTCGAATGCAGCCCTAGTGGTCCTTGATCTGAGAAAACTATGTGGCAATATCACACTAATACAGTGACAAACATACAAGCGCGGCGCAGGACTGACACGAGGGCAATAGAGGGTTAACTGTCGTTTAGATATATAACTAAAATGATGTTGTTTAGCTTCTTACTTGGAGACGATTGTATTGAATCGAGAAGCAAATTATTTGCAAAGGAACTTCAGTAGTGGTACATAACTCGCAGCATAATTTCATTATCAAAAATAAATCTGACCGATTGCTATAAATCGTATATACTATTGCAACCACCATAATCATTCCATGCAGTACGGAAAAATAGCGAAATATTTTATTACGTATTCTTTCGCATTTCGTGGCGGTTGGTGGCAACGGCCAGCAACAAGCGAACGACAAGTCCGCTTTCAAAAACGCGATAAGTTTCTCCATCGTCAGTGTATCCGCCATGACAATTGCTTCTGCTTGTTGAATTCTATCGTTTTGTTATAGTTACGCAGAGTGATTCGAACTAACTTATTGTTAGTCAGAAGAGAATACCTTCCGTGTTAAAAAGGCACGTAGGGTATGTATTTAATTTACCACCCACGTATATTAACTGCTGGCATAAAATTTCCTCGATGATATAATACAAGCAACCCCTCTGATACACATTTTCTACCTCGTAGATTTGCTTTGTGCCAGAACAGCGCATAGGTTTACGAATTATTCAACTAGCAAATAATGAACTGTAATAGTACAATTATTTTCTTACCTCCCTACGCGAATACGCGTAGTAATCTCAATTACAGTTACTATGGGTATAGGACTATAGGATGCATGGTTTGGAGATGATAGAACGGTAGAAACTTATGTTACGATAATAGCTCTGTCAGTATAATGTCAGTACAATGTTGGTATAAGGAAGATCGCCGTCATACGAATTCTTTTCATATATAATATATAATATATATTAGTTAGGTAATTATTAGTAAACAGTTATTTAACTGTTATAAAAATTATGTAAAGTTTCGAGAAATTGGTGCTTTCTTATATACTTACACTTACTCTATAACTTGACGTGTATTAATTATCTGGTATATATAATTTACTTAACCCATATTATATTTATTAAGACAGTTGCTGACAATCGCTACTTACAATTATATAGATTCATATTTAAAAATCTACATCTTTATTATCATATAAAAACTTGCAGACGATCATGCCGCAGAGTAAATAGCGATATCTGCAACGGAACTTGGAAATTAAATGGTAGTAGCTTTATTTCTTCCTAACAAAATAATTCACAAAATTTTGTTACCTAACTCAACCCAAGTGATATATGTATAGTAGCTTTATTTCTTTCTAACAAAATAATTTACAAAATTGCGTTACTTAATTCAACCTAAGTGATACGTACTTCAAAAAAAAATGTGAAATCTTTAAATTGCGCCAATTGCAAAGAGAATATATACACTTTGAAAAATAATTGTTGTGCAACTACTTTTAAAAAATAAAACAAAATTGTGTTACCTAACTCAGCCCAAGTGGTATGTATCTTTGTATTCCTGAGAGTCTTTCTATCAACTCAAGTGGTAGTAGTTTTAATTCTTCTTGATAAAATTATAATATTACAAAGAATTATTTTAATCACAAAGAATTAAAGAGGTAACATTATAAAATAAAAATATTTAATTAAAATAAAATAAATAAATTTTTCTTGTAAAAAACTTGGCGCTGCTTTTTTAAGGTTTACCCAGACAAACTTGCATAGGTGCATAAGCATATGCATAAAGAGATGGATTGGTCTATTTCTTTTTGCACATATAAGGTAAACCGGGGCACGTTGTCACACGGGGCACGTTGTCACATCGGCTTTATTTAAAAAACTAATAACCACAGGGCAGCACCCGTCATTCCCAAAACGTGTTAGTGTATGCCCATCTTTGGTGTGTTTACAGTGTTGAGATTGCTCCAGTCGTGTTGACGTAAAATCAACTTGAAAGTTTTTTGCGACCGTAAGTAAAATTTTATTGTCTAATATTCAACGTACTGGACATGAAGCTTATGTTTTTTCAGAATAGACCTTTATATTATCTTAAAGTATGTACTTTTACCTACCGCGTGCAATACCTAACCTTATGAATATCTCAAACGTGTTTAGGCCATGAGGCTGTTTAAAGTAAAAAAATGCCCTCAGGGCACGTTGTCACGTATTTGATGGGAATCTATTGCGAATCTTCGGATGACGATAACGAGTAAAAATATTTTATGTTTAATCACCGACATGATTATAAAAGAAAAAATGTGTATCAATAAGTTGCGCATTCGAGTGGAATTCTTGTATTTAGATTAAGACGAAAACTTCGTGCTTTTTGTACTTTTTTGAAATAAAATAAATGTTTCTGTGAAGGATTTTACTTTTTTACATTGCAGCGCACTATAATATATTGATATTTACGTTGAATACAGTTTGGATAACATTTTGCATGCAATTACATTTGACCGATCACGGGGCACGTTGTCACAAGCGACCTGTCGTTATTTATTGTTATGTAACAACTATAGAGTAACAATCACACAAAATTCGATACTGTCCAATTGAAGCTGAGGGTTCACTCGAAATTTTGGCATATCAAAGTACTCTTAAATATTGAATGTAAAAAATACAAAAAATATTGAACCAAATGTGTGACAACGTGCCCCGGTCTACCCTACATGTAAACCAATCAATTTCTTACGCTTATGTTTATGCGCTATGCAAATTTGTCTGGATAAGAGCCTCCGCACAAGACTCTCGTATGATAGCGTAACGTAACGTAACGTGTGGATTAACGCACAAGAAACGTATCGGTTAGAGCCTCCGCACAATATATATATATATATATATAAAACCTCTTATTTTTTACAAATATACATATATGTGTATTTATATTCGTATTATATAGAGAATCGCTATAACATTAAATGTAATAATAGTTATAATATAGAACTATTGTCTCCTATTTTTGAAATTTATTAAATATGTATTGATTAAATACGTATTTATTATATTTAATGTTATTCTTGCAATTCTCTATGTTAAGTGGATATAAATACACAAATATATCGTATATATACATATATATAATATTAACATGTTTTTTAAATCATGTTTATCTGCAATAATTATTATAAATTATTTATATTAAACCAATTATTTTTAAAATAAAAAATTTACCTGACAATGTGATTATTCCTTATCCACTAATTATTAATTTTCAAATAAGTATCTAATAATTCATGTATTAAAAACACATGAAGAATATAAAACGATGCAAAACTGGAAACTACTGGAACAGATTCGGGTCTGGACTAGTTATTTATTGGTTCGGATTCCTTGACTGCTTGAACAGATCGACTGAGAAAAAGTTTATTATAATGGACCATTTTCCCGAAAATATTACATACATGGATCCAACTTGTATCAAACCTATGAATAATACGTGATTATAATCGATATAATTGTATATATTTATTTTTGTACAGTTATCTTCAAGAAATGACAAGAGATGATACATTTAATATTTGTAAATAGATTTTTGTTAAAGGATCTGATCATGGATTAATATTTTAATACTGTTTCTGATTGTTGTCGGAATAAATTAAAGTATGGTTTTGTATTTTCATATTGTAATTATTATATTCAAGTCATTAAACTATTCATGTATTTTTATTTTCCCTCCAAATGTTTGCGAAAACTTAACTATTTAGTAGAGCTACATAATCGAGTAAATGAATTAAATATTATCATATAACTGAATGAATTAAAATCACAGTCCTTAAAAATACAATGTAGCTAATATATATTCATTATAAAATAGATTATAATATATATATATTATAAAATATACATTAAAATAACATGCCAACATTATGATATTGCTTCATAAGTTTTTTCATTTAGTATATTTACCTTACAATTAGTTACAATAAAATCAGTTACAGTTGCAGTAAAACGTATAATGGTGCGGTAATATAAGATTGTCCTTGACATACATTAACTGATCTGCCATTACTGTTTTAAGCTCGCTGAATTCACGCCTCAGAACTTCTAAACATCTCTGAAGAACCTAATAGATAGAATTACCTGTATGTGAAAATTTAATTTATGCAGCAGACCATTATATATCATGCCAATAGTACTCCAAAAGTGACACTGGAGTATTTTAATAACTTAAACGTTTTCTAAACCGCTGAGACATTCACCTTTCTTCATTATAACACTCCGACGATGATCAGATCCATCCCAATAACTGAATGTGATCTCAATTTCTTCTTCCTTCAACGCGTTCTGCTTTCTAGCCCATTCTTGTCTCAATTCTTCCCTAAGTTTATTTTCCTCCTCGTTCCTTTCCCTACTGGCAAAAAACATGTATCTACATCTGGATTTTTCTAAATCTTCTTAATCGCAGGGCCATCAGATTGCACATTTTCTGCCTACGGGGATTTTTCGGCATTGTCTTCGTCAGAAGACATCTCAGCTTCATCTTCGTCTTCGTCCAGATTAAAAGACAAAGCTTGAATCTGTCTCTTCTGTTTGTTCTTTTCTGTCTGCTTCGCCGCTAGTGCTCTTTCCTTTTCCTGCTCTTTTTCACGTTCCTTCTATCAAAGCATAAAATACACGTACAAAAATACAAATTATGAGATAATCAGGATCATAAGAAGATTGTAAGAAATTACTTGTGGGTATCAGGATTCGTGAATGTTCGCTCAATTTAACGGCGGATTTTCTCTTGCATTCCGCGTGACCGACGGTACTACATGCACATATTATTGTAATGTAAATATTACAATGCTGTGTTTGGGATAAATTAAAATAGTGGTTTGATTTTCATGAGGAAAGAATGGACGTCGACATAAAAATCGAGCTGAAAATTGCATTTAAATCTTACCACTGAATCAAAATATACATTTAAATTTTGATATAATAATTGTGTAGAGTACACATACATTAGTGATGTTTGCAAAAGCGCATCTTTTATGCGTTTTTTCTTTAAACGGCGAAACTTCCACTTTTCGCTTGGCGCGAATTTCTCTACCAACATTGGGTTGTCGTAATACATTGCTCTGTAAAGAATTTATGCAACACGTGCATGGAAAGTGCCCCATTACGCACGCTACGCGTGCGTGATAGACCACTTTCCAGGCACTTGCAACATAAAATAGGGAGTGTAAGCCGTGTGTAAAGATGAAAATTCCCGGGTGCGGTAACCGCACCCGGGAATTTTCATCTTACCTCACTTGTTACACAAATAACTATTTGACTTCTGGTCGTTATTCCTTTCCTCAAAGTTGCAGTGCTGTTTTGTCGATTTTGTCCGAGTAATACCTTCGGTGGTGCCATTTTTTAGATATGACAAAACTTTAGTTCCTTATCTAATTGCTATAATTCACAAACATACATATAATTAGTTTATATATATTATACATAGTTTAATTTATATAGTGCATAATATAATACGGAATGTTTCAGAAATAAATTGTCTTTAACTTCACGCTTTGAAATCCACATTTAATAATTACGGAAATTATTAAACGTAAGTGTTATGCTAAGATATGCAAATAAATGCGTTTTGTCAAAACTATTTATTACGTGTCACTTACATCTCTCCCGGAAAAAGTTGAGATTTATTACGCGAGATGGCGCGGCGTCCGCCTCAAACAGATGCTAAGGATTCGTATGTATTTGACCGGAAATGAATGTCCGGGAAAGAATCTACCATATGAAATCGTTTGTATTTCGTATGAAGACTTTTGAAGTGCAATTGAAAAGGTTTGTGAGTCAGTCGTTTAATTGTAATTAATTAATTATTTTTACACCATGCATTTAGCCGAAATAGATAAATTGATGAAAGTTTTTATACGGAATCGTTTGTATTTCGTATGAAGAGTTATGAAGTGTGATTAAAAAGGTTAGTGAGTCACCCAGATAATTTTAATTAAATATTTATAAACTCGGTAATTAGCCGAAATATAGATTTTTAGTTATTCATGTTAAAAGAAGAAGGCGCTAGTGTTCCTGAAGGTCCGTCTGCAATCAGAATTAATATAAACGTTTTAAACATTATTTTATAGTGAAATAAATAAATATACAGACCAATAAGCCTGTAATTATAAGCGATAGTTGCTAATTAAGTTTGTGACTCATATAATTCCATCTTGCAGAGGACCTACTTTTAAATTGAGCGCTTTTAAATGTATTATTATTATACTACCGATATCGATATATTATTAGTAATTTAATATTAAAGCTTGGACAGAGTGACGTAAATTAATTTGCTCATAGTATAACAAAGTATTATGCGTTTAAATTCTCGAAAGCTAGCTTCTTTACTATATGCTCTCTCTTTATGTCGATCGATTCAGATAAAAATCTTTCTTTCTCTCGCGATATTCCTAGAGTAAAACTGTACAAAAACTCAACAAAAGTGGCGATATTTTTCACGGATCTGGTTCGAGTCTCGGCTCTTGGGGAAGGTACGCATGTAGAAAGAGTACGCCAACACAGTTTATCCTGCTAAATGGTTATCAATCTCTATAAGTTCTTTATTGTTTACACATAAATTATTAGTTATTTGTGCAACAAGTGCTGGAAGATGAAAATTCACGGGTGCGGAGTTGACGCACGAGCCGAAGGCGAGTGCGGTCACCGCACCCGGGAATTTTCATCTTCTAGCACGGCTTGCATACCCTATTTTATGTTGCAAGTGCGTGGAAAGTGGCCTATCACGCGCGTGTAGCGTGCGTAATAGGCCACTTTCCATGCACGTGTGACATAAAGAATATTTAAACGTTTCTTTTTTTTCGATGTCCTGTGAAATTGTACAATAGAGTTACAAATAAAGATAAAGCCACACTTTACGTATAATCTGATTCAGTCTTTGCTAATGTTACATAATAACGCGTAAACGTAGTAATTATTTGGTAAATTAATCGACATTTAGTAAATCCGGCATCATGTGAGCTATCATCTTGAATTCAGCATCTTTTGCTGGTTGAAAGCTCTCACATACGGCACGTACTGTATGCCCTCTATATTAGTATCACACATTACATCTTCATATATTGATTGTACACCGATTTCTAAACGTGTGTATCTATGGAATTTTAATTTCACCGATGGACTCCTTCACGCTGGGGTCCAACGAGCTCAAGTTGAGATTGTTGGTCTGGTGCGAACTGGCAGAGTGTGCGAGATTACCGAAATTCGCCAATGGCGAGGGAAAGTGCGGTTTTGACGGTGAGTCCAGCAATTGTGGCCGTACTCCAGTACCTATCAGCTGCGCCAATTCTAACTGGGAGATGCATTTGACGACATTGAGCCACGACCTGCCTAGATAGTTGCCATCGGTGTGAGCTACTGTGATGAGAGTCTTGATTATGGTATCGATGTTCTTCACCTTCATTTCCGTAATTGGTGAATTAGCCGTCAACAAGGTGAATCTTGCCAAAGCTTGTACATAGGCATCGCGCTCGAGGCTCATAATGAAAGATGCAGGCGATACGAATGGCACATCTAAAATATATATAACATATAAATAATATAAAGCACGAAAGGCACAGCCGTATAAATCTATTTTCCTTCGTTTCTCCGATTTCTTCTCACCTGATACCGTCCAAGCAGAGCGACGCGATCTCTGAATCGTCGCAGTCTTGAAGTCCGACGCTGAACGCCGCGAGGAATGGCGTCCAGACCATTTTGAACATCGGCTGCATGTGTTCCAGATGCTTCGCCGTAGTGAATGATGCCTGAACATGACTGACAGATTCCATCAAATTCTTCGCCGCCGTAGAAATTACTTCCATTTCCATGTTCCATAACAATCGTCGTTTCTTTTCACTAGATATCAGCTGTTTGCCGGCGAGCCGGCTATTATTAGGGTTCGACTTCATCTTAATCTCGTTGCCAGCGATTTCATCGTAGATCCTATTGGTAATTATTACATAATATTAATAATAATAAAATATAATTTTAAAAAATTAATAAAAATATACTAACAAAGATAAACTTAAATACAATAAAATTTTCTCAATATTAATAATTATATGTATGTAAAACATAATTTTTTAATTATAATTAACTTTAAAAATTGCTATACGTACTTGATGTATCGTTCTTTGGTCATTTTGTTCTTAATCTGCGGCGAGCCCAAATCAGTGGACATTATAATTGAGAAGCCGAAAACGTAGGCTGTATCCGCGCTCGTGAAGAGGCCGTTGTTAGGGTTACACTCGCAATAGCGACTGGCAAACTTTTCGATTAGTCGGTCGCAGAAGCATTGCGATGGCCCTCGCGGGTGTTGACGCAATGTGATTTCTGCCCAGTGCTCTGAATGTCAACGTGAAGAAATTCAAGCAAGCGCGGGTAAACGGCGGGAGTAACTATGACTCTCTTAACGGTAGCCAAATGCCTCGTCATCTAATTAGTGACGCGCATGAATGGATTAACGAGATTCCCACTGTCCCTATCTACTATCTAGCGAAACCACTGCCAAGGGAACGGGCTTGGAAAAATTAGCGGGGAAAGAAGACCCTGTTGAGCTTGACTCTAGTCTGGCACTGTAAGGAGACATGAGAGGTGTAGCATAAGTGGGAGATGGCAACATCGCTATCTTCTGTGCCTCGCCGGGCAGCCGAAAGCTCTCCAGGAAATACTTGAGTGCGGTTACTAGATCGCGTTCGGCAAAGTTCATCTGATCGATGTAATGGTACATTACCTGTGCAAACGGTATAACAAAATTAGTCATTATCTTAATTAATTAACATAATTATCGCGCAATAATCATAACATGATTTAGAATTGATCAACCATGGTCGCTATTTATGTCTATAATTAGTATAGTCTATTAATTTCAATTGTTTTCTCCTTGTCACCTGGTTATGATTATGGTCGCCCAGAAAGTCTCCAATGGCGGTTTTGTCGAGCCGCTCGTCCAGGTGCAGCCACCTGGCCACGTCCTCCGGCGAAGTACCGAGCATAAGAAGTACCTTGCTCCTGCAAGTACTGCACACCCTTGCCGGGCTTCCGACTAAAGATCTCGATACCGGCCTCCCATACCTCCTTTTGTTGTTTCTGTACTTCATACTGCTCCGGCGAGTCCGGCACCTCTTTGTTGCCAGTCAGACTGGAGACTGGAGTTGGCCGACGAGAGGCTGCCAGCGCTGCCGTAACGCGGTAGCGGGATCTCCGGCGTCGTATCCGGTAGATGTGACAATGGTTGCTGATCCGCTGGCACGCTAGGATTCACGTAAAGATCCCGACTCCACTCCACCATGCATTTCAGAATAGACACGAGGCACTCGAGACCACGGATGCGCATGGATTTCTCCTGAAAGAGCAAGACACTAATATTACAAACAAAACTTTATATTGCTTGTTTCGAAGAACATTCTCTGTTCCAAATAATACATTTATCCTGTCATCCTCTTTCTTATAACGCACCTGATTTGGCGATGCACCTAACTCCAGAGCTTGATGACCTTGAGCAATCTTAGAGAGATCATTGACGAGCTTCTCGAAGAGATTCGCTGCTGAGAGATCGCAATCGTAGTTAACGTAGATGTCGACGACGCTCTGGGCATCCGCACAGATCCTCGTAAGCGCATGTATGACCATCCACTTGTGCTCAAAAGAGCTGCTACAGGTCTCGAGGATGTTCATAAAGATCTCCTTGAAGAACACCTCAATCTACATCTTGAGGTGCATCTTGAAACGGGCGAGCAGCGCCAGGAACAGCTCTAACGACAGCTCGAACACTTCCGGCACCAAAGACACGCCATTCTTCGACAGCGCGACACACAAGTACTGTTTAATGGCGATAACAAACATCTTGTTAGAGCGCAATATTGGACCGGCATTCTGCAAGATTCCCAGAAGTAACTAAAGCGACAAGATTTTGGAACGGAGCTCGTGCGATATTGGATCGGGAGTGTCGTCCGGCAGCGGTTTCATAGAGAGCTTGCAGAGAGCGCGAAACACCAGGACTGCATCATTTTGCAGTACATGGGTGAATTTTGCAGTTATCATGTTGTCATTCTCAGCGGCTGCCTCGTCACCGTTGTCCTCTGGACTGCCGTTCTCCAAACTGACTTCCTCTTCCAATGGCACCACAGATTTTACCACATCATCAAGAATACTCTTGACAATTGTTTGAGAATCAATGTTATCATTACTAGGAGCATTCTTTGGACTAAGCTCTAAGCAAGCCTGAAAAAGCTGCTTAGAAAAGGTTATCCCAAATTTTAGCCAAATTAATTAACGAATCTCATTAAACTTATGCTCGTTTTAATCAGTAAGATCAGCCGCAAGCTGGTACAAAGCCGGATTTTCCATTTTGCCTCTTAAAAAATTTATAATAAATAAAATACGGACTCGCAGCTAAGCAACCCGACAGAGGTCTAGCGTATAATAGGCAAAGAGAAAACTCAAGATAACATGAAGAGTGTTAATACACGCATTTTTAATTGACGACCTCACGCAAATTAGTCAACTGAGGTAAGCGAAAATGTGCTCATTGAAAACCCTATAGAACTTCAGCTTTCGAACGAATCCAAGATCATTTCGCTGTGATTGTTTTGTGCAAAGATATTGGCAATTATATCGACCCGTGATCTCACAATCAAAATCAAATATTGCAGTCGATCACCGCGCGCGCGCGCCCATTTCTCTCAACAACAACAACGTATTTCAAAACAAGTGTATGCAGTATGCGTATGGTGTATACATATTTATTATTTTTACACATTTTTATTGGTCATCCTAACGTGTGAGCCTTGTTATCTGATATGTGAATTTATAAGTAAAAAATATGCGTGGCGTCATTTCATGCGCGCGCTAGATTTTTAAAACGCTATAACTCTACAAAAAAAGGACGTAGCAACTAGCAACGTACAACAGATATTGATTTTTTGCGTTTTGCATTCTGCAGGTACCTAGGTATGTAAATTGTTGGAATTGAATGATAATTCTTGGAAAATTCTTGAAATTTTATATAGTGCAATCTTCTTACCGATTATTTTCTCCTGATATCTTTTCGATTTTTAAAATTCTAAATTTTTGCGACTATATCTCTCGAATTCTCAGGATCACGATTTTTTGAATTCTTAGAAATTTAGATAGTACGTCGATTTTTGCCGATTATTTTCTCCTGATACTTTGTCGATTTTTCAGATTCTTTATTTTTGCTACTCGAGTTGTTACCGAATTCTCGGAATCGTGATTCTTATTGAAACTCTTGAGAAAATTTTGGAATTTTATATTGACTTTTTTGCCGATTATATTCTTTTAATACTTTTGCCAATTTTCGAGGTTCTTAATTAATTTTTCGCTATTTGAAGTCATAAAGTCAGTTATTTTTATAACGATAGCCTGTGAATTTGAAAATTTTTCATATTATCAATAATTGATAGGTTATTCGGTATACTTATATTTATAATTACTTATCAAACTGCTGATATGGTTACTATATATGGATACTATATATAAAATATAAAATAAGGAAAGTTTATTGATCTCGACTTCAATTGGCCAATTGGCAAAAATATAAGTGCTCCCCGAATGCACCCTATATGGTGTCAATGTCGATAACTTATCATGATTTGGTTATTCGCGACAATAAACAATAGTTTACCAATTGTCAGTAAAAGAAAGAAACAAATTTTGATAAATTTTAGATAAATTGAAATACAAAGGAATTAAATATATTATATAAGTTAAATGATAAATTAGTGTATTAAATTTTTTTTACATTTTTACAAATTTCATTATCATATTATCGATATTTGATAACCAAACAGCAATGTTGGTTATTATACGACAGCACATATAATACATATAATCTAATTTGAATATCGACATACATGCATCATACATGCATATATTATATTATATATGTATATGACACTATATTGCTACATGATGATGATATTGCTATATTGATCAGATCTTATTTCAAGACCGTCTTAAGTAATATTTTAAGATGCTAATACGGCTCTGTGATTGGTTAATGACATCTTAAAATTGTACTTAAGATATGGTCTTAAGGGGATCCTAAAGACGTTTGTATTACCGACCGAATTCTATATCTGTCCTTGTATAGACAATGATGATAGACAAGGATAGACATGGTTATAGGTTATAATTTCTTCGAAGCTCTCATTTTTATTCCAGGCTTTCAATCTCAATTTCAAAGGTATGTTATTGTTTGTGCACGTCTTCTGAAGGGTGGGAACATTTCATTTCGTACATATTACTTATACAACTGTTTATATTAGAAAATGAGGTAACAACATTTTTATTTTTTTTCAATTATTACTAATTATTTTACATTCCCACCCTTCATTAGTACCTATACTTTACTCCTGTAAAAGGATTTTGCGATCTATAAAGCCGTTTCAAAATTAGACCTTTGACTGTAATTGTCGGTAATTAAGTCACTTTAGCATCCCCTTAAATATAAGAACCGACTATGAATACCGGCCTATAGTTATTTTTATAAAATTTCTTATTGTTTTTTCTTATTGTTTAGAGAAATAAAAATTTTGAATTTACCAATAAAAATATAAGAATTTATTTAAAATTTAAATATATTATTTATTTTATTATAAAGAATTATGAATCGTGTGTATATACGTAAACTCTGTTCTATGGCCGGTATTTATAGTCGGTTCTTATATTTAAGACCATCTTAAGTACAATCTTAAGATGTCATTAACCAATCACAGAGCCGTATTAGCATCTTAAGATATTACTTAAGACGGTTTTAAAATAAGATCTGATTATGAATACCGGCCTATATCTTCCGATAGTTCCGATTGAAACAGCACTTTATAGATGGCGTACAAGTTTGTTTACGGTTATATTTGTAAACAGTCTAAATCTAAATGCTTGTCAAAGTTGGGACTGTCGGGACAAATCTTCCTGCGGCGGTGTTAAAGTCGAAGAGAATATTTTGGCAGAGACATGGATAAACTATCGAAGCCACAGATAATCTGTCACATCGAAAAATCGGTAGATTATTCGCTGTTTGATGCAAAGTGGATACCATGTAGCGCAAAGTTCGTGGTTATGGGCTCTCGGCCTCGTGGTACCGGTATTATACAGATTTACGAGGTGTCTAGTGGCGAATTAAAGCTTGTCAAGGATGTAGAGAGATCCAACCAGATGAAATGTGGAACATTTAAAGCTTCTAGTCTTCGTGATAGATATTTGGCTACTGGTGATTTCAAGGTTTCTCCTACTCAACAACAGATATATGTTTTATTAAATATTTGCATATAGACGTATATACCTACATTTGATGATGTCTTGTGCGATGTTCAATTGATTCGTAAATCATGAAAGCTAACTTTACAGGGTAAATTGAATATTTACAATTTAGAAGATCCTTCAGTACCAGTTTATTCAGCTAACGCTCACACACAGATTATAAATGCCATTGATGGAGTGGCAGGTGCTAGCGTAGGATATGGAGCACCAGAATTAGTAACTGGATCTAGAGATGGAAGTGTAAAAGTATGGGATCCTAGGCAAAAGAATCGACCAGTGGCGATTATGGAACCTAAGGAGGGAGAAAGTCGGCGGGACTGTTGGTCAGTGGGATTCGGCAATTCTTACAATTCCGAGGAAAGAGTAGTAGCAGCGGGATACGATAACGGAGATGTTAAAATGTTCGACTTAAGGGCTATGTCTCTGAGATGGGAAAGTAACTTGAAAAATGGAGTTTGTGGTCTTGAATTCGATAGAAAAGACATTCCCATGAATAAACTAGTTGCTACTACCTTAGAATCTAAATTTTATCTCTTTGACCTGAAGACTCAGCATCCTAAGAAAGGTTTTGCTTATCTTACTGAAAAGGTATTATTTGAGACAAAAATTTAATATTTATTCTCTCTTTCTGTCTCTGTATGTAAATACGTATTTCTCACACTGTGTATGATTTTAGGCGCACAAATCAACGGTATGGCTGGTTAAGCACTTGCCACAAAATCGTGAATTATTCGCAACATGTGGCGGTGGAGGAACAATTTGTCTTTGGAAATAGTAAATATTCATGTTTTTAAAATACAATTGCGTTACATGCTTAAAGATGCTTGAAAATCAAATTTTTTGTTGTTTTTCAGTAATTATCCAGAGAAAAGAAAAACTACAGACGCCGATGGGATCGAGCAAGGAGTTGTAGGCAATGTCAGTTTGCTCCAGAACTGTACGCTCTCGTCGCAACCTATTAGTTGTTTGGATTGGAGCCCGGACAAGCCAGGACTCGCAGTTTGCACATCGTTTGATCAATGCTTACGCGTTATCATCACTACGAAACTGAATACTATTGATTAAACAACGGAAAGCTCGAAAGCTTGTAAATAAGCCTGTGTACGATTTCTAATTTGCGAACGCAAGGTGCATTATGCAACGGCGAGCAGACGAGAGCGAATTATATGTCATTGGGCCAATCTATTTAGGATCGAACCCTTATTAAGTATCGGCCATCTTGCGCATGGTCGTGAATGTTACGCAATATCGCGCGCGCGACGTCCGCCATTTGAGATGCGTTCAGCCGGTTCAACCCACGCGTTGTCACTTGCACCTTACACCTCCATTGCATCGCGATTCGCGCGCGAGGGCGCAGCATTGCAACCGCGCACGCAAGGTCAGGAATACCTCGATTTTAATTATATAAATTAGCTGTCGCCGCGTCCATCTCTCGCCCACTCAACGCGACATGTCGATGTTATCAAATCAAACCCCACCCATTTCATTCAATCCTTTCACGTCCAATAAAAATCAAAATGTATATCTTGTTTCATCTTTAATGCATAGAATAGTAGTACAAAAAAAGTTCAACTAAAATAATCGCGCAAATTCAACTAAAATTCACGTAACATTTTTATCTAAAATTTTTCTTTTCATTTTTCATATTATTTCTTCATTTTCTTGTATTCTTACCGAGACATTATATTCATTTTTATTTCTTATTGCAATACAATATTTACTGCGGACATTTTCAAGGGAGTTTCGTATCTCAAACATGTATAATTCTTCGTTTGCTCAACAAAAAGTGTATCGATCAAAAATCAAACGAAATAGATTGTAGGAATCAAAGGAATGGATGGCTATCCTAGAAGTATAGTTGGCAAGTGTCGGTGGGCTAATTACATAGCAATATATATATATATATTGCTCATATATACATATATATATATATATATATATATATATATATGTATATATGAGTATTTACAGGAGCGGGTGTACACGAATACGCCGACAAATAGACAAGTGTGTAGCAATACCTGGTTCCTATTTTTGTTTCTTAATGGCGCACTTCGCGATGCACTTTGCGGCGGTTTGGTCAACATCCAAAATTTGCATTGCTCCTCCTGCCTCCTACCCCTAACTGTATGATCGGTACGATTAAATCTTACAATTAAATAGAAAAATCAATCCTTAGAAACCTTGTTTCTCATTAAATATACCAATTAGTAGTCGATAAGTATTTTTATTGGGAATTTTCATTAATTGTATTTATCTTCCAAATCCCTAACTCAGAAATGATAATTGTTAATGGCTTAAGACGATTTTTCCATTTAAAAATTATTCCATTAATCAAATTATTATTACTACTTGACATTTAGCAATCTGCCACCTGCAACCGATGATGGAGCTGGAATTGGCAAATAAAAAAGGTTCCAACACACATGAAAAATATTTTTATTTCTCTTAAGTTCTAGTGGTAATCACAGTAGTACCCTCAAGTCATTTTATAATTTATTTGAAGCGTAAAGTCATTGTGATGCTGCCTAAATAAAAAGCTTTAAAATAGAAAAAAAATTTATATAAATATACTAAATCCAATCCAATAATAATACGTGAAACAAGTGAACCACTATGATATTGATATTGGTAGTTCAATAATAATATTGTTTGAATTCTTATATACTTTTTCCAAACTCAGTACACTGCGCACCAATTTCTTGTCGGTCTTTACCCATGTCTTAGTGGTCGAATTGGTAAAGACGCCTGTCACGGAATGTAAGAAAACCCGAAAGAAAAGGTTTGCACCCCTGGCTGGGGTGATATTTTTCGCAATAAATTCTTTACAATGACTTAATGAGGATGCTTATTTGCTATCAAAATTTAAATCGATTATCGATTTAAAGTATGGAGAGTTTACTGTTCGAACAAGGGAGCTGTGTTTTAAAGACCGACAAAAAAACACGCAGTGTACTGAGTTTGGAAAAAGTATAAAATTCTCAAACAATATTATTATTATTAGGCTACCAAGTCTGGACCGTAAATGGCATTTTTCTGTCTTTTTCTCTCTCTAATTGATAATAAATCCATATTATTGTACAAAAATGATAATAAATCAGTAATTGATGTGTTCAATATTATATATTAAAACATGAAATGCAAGTTTCTTCAGGTTATCATCTGATAGATACATTTGTTGAAAAAATTTTTAAATGATAAAAAATTGACAATAATCGCAAATATTAAAATGCAAGTTTCTTCATTAGTAAATACATATGTTGATCTATCTCGAAGCCGTGCAGATTGTTCGCATCGCCTTGTAGCCTCATCAGCAGACCTCCGAAAGATACGTAGGCTGATCTGGAAGCAAAATAAAAACGGTTCAGTTGTGCGTTTGCATCGCCCTATATAGATATTTCGAAGTGGCGCTCGCCTTCGACACTTGATACAGACTATGATATATTCTGATGCTATGATATATATTATGATTTTAAGATGTGCCGCCTAAAATTAAGCCTATATTCATCTGACTTTTTTTCTTTCTGTGGATTCTAGCGCCAACTTCTGAAATATTGGTATACGTATAGCTAAGAAGCACCCTGTATAATACGTAAAACGAAAAGATTTTTAAATAGCAGATTCAACTTGAAGAGGGGTCGATAGCATCAATATTCTTCTAATGCTATTAAATTTCAGACGATTGGACGATTCTCATGTTCAAGTAACTTTCCATATTCGAGGTCGTCAATGTTTCTTCTAGTAGCAGTGCAGATTTGCGACCGTCATAACTGCAGTGCCGATAGCGGTCGTGCATATAGATTGACCACACAACCAGCTAACCACACTGCCAACATGCCGATCGCTAAAGAAAGTTCTTCCTTTAAACGATTACGAAAAAAGATGTATCTGTTGGACCGATGAGCTTCCAAATACTCCATTCTTCAAGCTCGACTGATGATCATTTTCTTCCTCTGTGCCATTTCCGTTTTATCTTTAATTTTGTGGGATATACGTACCAAAAAATCAAAACTTCGCAACAGTTTATACGTTTTAATGCATTAGTGATATAATAATCGTTTAAAATTGTATTTTATTAAAATCAGATAAATTGCGGATAACTAACGTAAAACAGTTTGTAGTACAAGCTTGAAATTAAATATTAACATGACATAATGGAAGAGCAATATATAAATTTATGTGGAGCAATATTAATTAAACGCCGAAATTATGGGCTGCGTAGATTCCGCGGTGAGACAGCAATAAACTTTTTCCATCACTTGACAATCAGTTGACTACTTACATAATTATTATAATGACATCTTGGAACTAGACACTCCATGACTTGAAAGTATACGCAAAAAAATAACATTAACTCGAATGTATCATAAAATTCTTGTATTTCAACGTATCCAACATCAAATGTATCTGATTGTGCACTGTTGATTGTAATCATTTTAATAACGCTTATAAAATGCATTCTATGAAATTTGCGATGCTAATGTGCATATACATAATCGCGGAAACGCACATTCAAATTTCGCGTGACTTACGAAAGACAGAGAGGGGGAGGAGGAAGGAGAGGAGGAGGGAGGAATACGCGATTACCAAAGGGAATACTCGCGCGGCATACGTGTTGCAAGGTTTCTCTATCGATTGACCTTGCCTCTGACAATACCTCGAATGTCTGGCTCTAAGAGGCACTCCGCTCCTGTAAGAGTCAATTATTTTTAACCAAGCTTCGAGCTTCCGTTTACGCCCTGGATCTACTTCCCTCTCTCTCTCTCTCTCTCTCTCTCTCTCTCTCTCTCTTTCTCGCTCTCTTCTTTTCGTTTACCATTTAAGAAGATTTAAAAAATACCGTAGAATTTCCAATTTACGTAATAGATAACTTAGCCAAGGTCTAACCGTTACAAATGCAACATAGCAATGTATCTATAATTAAAATGTATCTGTAATTTATCTATAATTAAAATTTCTAAAAACTGAAATTTCTGATATTATATACATAATAAATGAAACACGACCGCTATGATATACAATCAATTTAGAGAAAGTGCCATTTCGGTCAGGACCATAGAGATATAAGAAAGAGTGCGCACAAGCGAGCTGAAAAAGCGATAGAGCCTTCTCTTTGTCTGAGAAGGGGCCTATATGCAGCGTTCTTTTTCTATTTCTATATCGCAGCCTCTTACTATGCTAGCATACGACTCGTCTCTCTAGCACTCTAATCTCATATCTCTATATGGTCAGGACTCGATCAGGATCTTGGTAGCCTAATATTATTCGCGTGAATTTTGTTTACAATTCTTCGTCCGAGCAAACCACGCGCGCCATTACTAATGGTCTCAACGCAGTCTCAACTAAAGCTAGAACAGTACTATCAATTATTAAAATTTCTTTAATGTTTAATGTTAATACTTCAAAATTACAGAAACATAATATATTTTAAGATATTCAATGTCTTTTTTACCGGATTTTGAAGTTATGCGTACAAATATGCGATTATCCTCTTAAAGTAATCATCTAAAGATTTTACGTTTTTATCCATCTCGAAAGCACACATCTATACTCCTTTTTCTGACAATATTTTCGGTTAAATATTTACTTTGAAGTAGCTAAAAAGTTGTTTTACTCCGCTAAGCAATTTGACAGCTCGTTGAGCGATTTCACTTCTTTTTGTATCTATATATAATATGAACCTATCAAATATGATCGATAACACAGATAAGATGAATGAAAATATATGAAGTGGAAAAAACAAGCTCTCTGAAACTAAAGTTATTAAACTCTATATTTGCAAATAAGGAATTTAATTTTGAATTAATGGTCTAGTCTAATAGGTTTTTGTTTATATTAATCAATAATAATGTTCACAGAGAGATAAATCAGATTCCATATATTATTAAATAATTCTGATATATAGCGGAAATATATTTCTTCTTATTTCATTATCTAAATACTACAGGAAAAAATATTCAGAACTATATAATTTATATATTTGTGTCTACAAATTAATCACTAATAAAGGCGCTGGTGAAATTAAATGAAGAACGCATTAGATGATTTTTATTGCCATTTGATACAACAGAATATATGATCCTACATATAAACAATGTGTATGCGTATATATTTGTGTGCGCGCATAAATTGTTACATATATGCGAGGCTTTGTTACATGAAACGAGTATGCAACAAGCATACCTCCATTAACAAATCCCTCGTCACAAATGGTCGAACGCCATTACACATTTATTCATAGAAAAACTGTCATTGCCGATGATATTGCATTGGGGGAAAAAAAACATTTATCAATGCAGCATGCATTCGTTTGCTTAATTGCTAAAATCCCTTTCTCCGCGAGATATATCGTGGAATAGAAAGAAGAGAATGGGGCGAAAAACGGCAATGACAGTTACTTTTTAGCAGGATTTATTTATTGCAGCACATACACATTGTGCAGTTTTCCAACAGATTTTCCATAGAATTATTTTTTACAGAACCACCGACGTATTACCGAGCAATTTCACACTAACCATAGAAGTTCATATCACTCATTTGTCGATTGTCCAAAGTTTAAAGTTTTTACGCAACAAACATCAACTGTAAGTATTAGTGTCTATCGTCAATTATTGTTCCAGACAGATTTGATATTTCTGAATGAAAATTAGCGATTATGTGATTACATGATTAATACTTCAGAAACACATGCAGATTAACTAAATTATTATTTATCTCTAGAGAAATACTTGCGAATAATATTCTTAACTTATAACGCACATTTCGCTGTTATAATTATACTGTAATAATTATATTTCAAATAGAGAAAAACTTGGCAAAAAATAATAGACATACTTTTCTGTGCTCTCTACTTATATAACGAATTACAGAAAAAGATAATTCATATGAGATCCATCATATAATCATATTGGTTATTCTCACAGATTAAAAGAGTAATATTTAAACCAGAGGTAACATAATGGAAATATGAAAATCGAAAAAATTGTATAATGTTATATTTTTATTGAATCGAAATCTTAATTAAATCTTATTATAAAATATTAATGTAATCGAATCTAAAATTGCTAAAAAATTTGGGGATTTTTTCTCTGATTTAAACTTTCTTTCGAATCCGAGTTTGTTATTAATTTAAAATTATAAAAGGTCCCCCTGAGAATCTTGTATAAAACAAAAAATTCTCACGAAGACATTATGTATAATATACATCGAGGTATGCACGATATAATTATCACAAGCTCTGCAAGTTTTGGGATAATCCGGAGGGCGATACGTGAACTTCCTGATATGGCACTCTCGCTCGCAATGAGGATACTGCGCAATCTGGTATCGATGATGTCGGTTTTTAATCGTGTGCACACTTATCTACGTTTTCAGCGCTAGAAAAGATGACGTCCTGTCACACGATAGCTGATGGCGGCGACAGAAGAGATGTCGTACCAGATAGTGCATTTACAGTATTCAGGGCCCGTGTAAACGCGCATCTGGCACGAGCCCCAACTGCCCTGTAATCTCGTATTGGCTCGCTTCCGCTCCACTCGCTCTCATGCTCTTTTTACTCGTTAATCTTCGCAGTCTATCCCCCTTTTTCCCCTTTATCTACTTTCCAATTTACTCTTCCTCGTATCAAGTTGCAATAAAGTTGCGATATCTCATTTATTATGATATTAATAGCAAAATATCTCATTGATAGTAATATTATGTGTGCGCGCGTGCGTGCGTGTGCGTGTGTGTGTGCGTGTGTGTGTGTGTGTGTGTGTGTGTGTGTGTGTGTGTGTGTGTGTGTG